AGCGAACTACTGTAAAAAAATATAACCCTTATTATTTGGATCCCCAAAATGGTACCCCTAATTTTGGGAAGCCCTAAACCCTATACATCCCCATATAACCCCTATAGTCCCTATATAACCCCTATATCCCCCTTTAAAGGTACCGGGAAGCCCCTACATATACCCAGTACCCTAAACCCTAAGCCCTGAACCCTAAACCCTAAACCCTAAACCCAGTACCTCAACTTCAAGGACTTCCGGGTCACTGTGACGGGCGCGCACTGCCCTCGACCAGTGGTCTCCTTCGCCCACCTCCGGCTGCCCAAGGACTGCTTAGGGTTTAGGTTTTGGGGTTCGGGGTTTAGGGTTTGGGGTTTAGGGCCCAGGGTTTGGGGTTTTGGGTTGCGGTTTTGGGCTTTGGATTTAGGATTTTGGGCTTTGGGTTTTGGTCTTTTGGGTTGCGGTTTTGGATTAGGGTTTAGGGTGCAGGTTCGGGTTAATAAGGTTTGGAGTATAATAGATCCTCTTCCTGGGCCACACGCGTGATCTTTGGAAGAGCACTGCTTGTGAACCCGCGCTTGCTTCTTTGTTTTTGGCAGGTGGAGCCTCGAGGCAGCAACATGATGTAGTCGGTCAGCTGCATGCTGTGCATCGGCGCTGTCACAGTGACAGACGGAAGGAAAACCTGGCTACTAAGACCTCTGAGCCTTTGGGTTTCTCATCATGAATACATTAGGAGGACCCCCCACCCTGTAATAATGGTATAATAGGAATATAATAGGACCCTAGTATAATCTTTATTATCCCTTATAGTCACTATAACTGGGTAAAGGATCCACCTAACCCTAAATCCTAAACCCTAAACAATAGTTTCCATTTTCTTTTCCATTATTCTTATATATCCCTACATAACCCCATAGAACCTTATATATCCCTAATGCATGAGCGGCTAGGTGAGCCATTTGAGCCGCAGGAGCTCCTAGACGGGATCCGAAAGCAGGGCTACAGCAAGCCCACGCCAATCCAGGTCGGATGCGCCAGAATTACTGGGTTGCTGTTAAGGAACTTGAATTAAGTCACTATATTGGGGGAAACCGTATTATTTACTATA